CGTGTTTTTGACAATCACATCTCCATTTTCCAGAATTCAAAGATGAGATCGCAATAGGGTGTGTAAGGAAAGGCTGTCCAGAGACAGTGATGTCTTATTTGAAGCCTAAAGTGGCTTCATTGAAGTCAAATATCTGTTGGTGTGCTTTTCTGCCCTTCTACGTCGTCCTTGATTTATTCCTAGTTTGGAATACACATGGCATGGCAAGACAAACACTTACAAGAATTATATCACTCGCCATATCCGTTTTGCGCACATGCTGCTAACTATTCTCCAGCAGCCATAGACCTACGCCATTAACAAAATGTGCGACAAAAATAGCATTGTTGAAACAGCTCAGCACGCCTACGTCACGAATGATATATATATATATATATATATATATATATATATGAATCCCACTGTCGCTAATGAGTAAAGGCTCATGGCAGCAAGAAACTGTGCCAACAAGCATGAATCAATCGGGTTGTGAGGAGCGCCTTGTCTCATTGCCCATGGGAGATAGATGACGAAATATATTTGCAGAGCGCTTCGATTTTACCAACTATTCTTGCTTGGACTTCTGGCGAGTATATATTCCAACATAGCCAGAGCTGTACTCCGGCTCAGCCAGAAGCAATTGGATGGCAAGACGTCTGATCCTTCACAATCAACAACTAAGACCAACAACATCGATAAGAAATCTCTGGATTTCTGTCATCGGTCTCACAACTGAGGAACTACGTGGTGTGGTCACGGTATTTGCTATCGTTCATTGCGTATTGTGTTGAGATAAACTGGAAATGGAGAGACTGGATGCGAAAGTGGGTTGGGCAAGATGAGTACGTTGGAAATCTCCCATTGCTTGTTAAAAGATCCGCAATTTTATACTTTGCATCATCCCTAGATAACCTTTTCGAACAAAAGCCCCGGAATGATTGCATTGGTTGGAAAGGTAGGCATGGCAAAACATAGTAATTTATATATCTCGTATTTGGATCCCGGAAAGATCGCCTCCAATAGGAGACATTTTGCAATGTAAAACTCGACTTTTAGTCGCAAAAAGGTGTCTTGGCGCAAACGACTACTGCCCGCGAAAACTGGAGGAAGATGAGATCGAATATGACCAAGTTACTCATTTCATAGCTAGCGTTCCATTGTGACATGCTTCTTCGCGTTTCTAGGTGGAGCGCCGGCATCGCACGAATCTGACTATTGTCCTCTGACTTTCCTGCGTGTGATGCCTAGTAAGTTGCGAGAAATCAACAACGCCAGAGCAGGAAAATGACAGGCTGTCAATTATGACAACCCACGATCAATGTTTCGGAAAGTCTGACTGATAGTCCGAGGGAGAACTAACATACGGTGGATCTTCAGATTGTGTCTAAGTCAATCTAAGACGACTCTGGGGGTGACAAGGATATCGTTTCTGGGGAACAGCGGAGAATGACAGTCCATAACTGATCAATATATAACCCGCCGTTGCTGGATCATTTGATGCTGTTCAGCCTCTGAAAGCCACAACGGGGGTTGGTTGTGGACGATGGAGCAGAGTTATGTCGCACTTGACCCGGTAGGCTGTGCGACGGACTTTTGAACGTAGCAGTATGTAAATAGTGGGTATAAATTATCTACATCTCATCCGTCGAAAGTCAAACCGCGATGCCAACAATGAACCGCTTAGCTGGGGTGTTTTGCTTTACCTTCTAAACAGATGGTTGGGCCTGCACTGGTGATACGTTGTTGAAAGCCCGAGAAGTACTCCACGTGATAATGTGAGCTGTCTATCACATAGAACCTGTCTGCGTTCCGCTGACTATTCCAGCCAAATGAACACACGCTGAGCAAGGACGACAGGGCGGCGAGATAAATACCCAGTTCGTCTCTCTCAATTTAACGGGGGAAGTGCTGCAACCTCTTGTAGAATCACTGCGTCACATATGTATCTTCTGTGTGAAGCGGATAGCTAGATGTCCGGCATGGTACATGATTTGCTGGTGAAATCTTCTCCTCTTTGGACACGAGGATTTCAATAAATACTTTTTCAAGAGACGCTTGTCAACCCAGGACGGACAGCTTTGGATGCTCCAAGATAACTTACTCAGGACTTCAAAGACTGCTCCTTGATTGTAGTGAGTCACAGTTGGAAATGGTAAAGCGTTTCCATCTCGCCAGCGAGAATCCTGCACTATTTCACCAAAGTTCCAATGTGCCCTGGTATCAATCGTCGTCGTCGGGTCCCCAGCGTCGCTAGACTAGTCAGCCCTGGGAAGGAAGCTCGAGCCGGCCGCGCCCGTGCTGGGAAGGAAAGCCGAGACGAGACACCACGACCACGCGCGTCAAACGGCACCAAAATGGCTACCTGTTCGCCATCTCTGGGCACACCCACGTATCCCGGCTATCTGGAACAGATGCAAGATCTTTCCGGATTGATGTAGGATGTGACTCAATGGCCAGTGTTTGGTCGGGACGTTCCTGCCGCGTGCAGGGGCGCGTTGAAGGGCGTACTTTGAGTCACCGACAAGACTGTGTAGGAATAGAACAGGTCAAGTTGGAAACTATAAGAGATGCATTTCAACTTTCTCAGGATATGGCGAGCTACATGTAATCTTCATTTGAAATCCTGTGTATCTTTTCTCTGGGCCTCCCGTCTTTCCTGATCCCCTGACTCGTCGGCAAACAACATTACAACCCTTCCGCAAATGGCCACCAAAATGTCGAAAGGCAAAGTTTGTCTCGCGTAAGTTTATGCCAGAATCCAGGTCGTTACAGACATGGCAACATGCTGAGAACATCGTCAATGGCTACTCCGGCGGCGTAAATCCTCTCTCCCGATGCAATACCGCTTCACATTTGACAGCACAACCCGCCCAAATGGCACCTACATGGTATAGACTGATGTCAATCGCTAGCTCGATACTTCAGTCATCCTCGCTTGGCTAGTGGAACAGAATTACGAAGTCATGTTCGTTATCTGACATACCCGTCAATCGGCGTGTCCCCCACTGACGCCTCGAAAGCTGCTACATTGCCGACGTCGGACAGGAGGAATCTGATTGGGCTTCCGTTGAGAAGAAAGGTAGCGTGCTTGAATACTCTCGAGATAATTGCTTGTCCTGACAAAAAGAACACAGCTCTGCAGATTGGTGCGAAGAAGGTGCGGCACCTCACGCAACGCCTGGCTGTAGACCGAGGAAGACGACAATGTCACTGATGATCGCGCCGTTGTAGTTGATCGTCGATGACTTGAAGCGGGAATTCGTAGAGTAGGGCATATCCCCGCGTCAACTTTGCTAAAGCTTACGTCTTTTGCGTAGGGAGTTGTGCTGGAAAGCTGTCCAATGCGTGAGAAAACTTTGCAGCGATTCTCCGGGTTTGACTGAAGGCAACGTATAGAACGCTGTTTACGAGAATCTCTACTTGCTAGGTGAGCTTTCCCATGTCCACTCGAAAGACGCCCTGACTGACAAAATGCAGGAACCAGCCTGGCTCGGCCAGTCATCGCTCGTGGCCAGATGAGGGCTGCCGTCCGAGAAGGGTGCCAATTCGTATCCCATGGCTGTGTATGTCCGATTGCACTACTCCCTGCAAGCGAGGCTAATTCGTGGCAGACTGGCAAAGGCAATGATCAAGTGAGGTTTGAGCTGACATTCGCCACGATCAATCCCGAAATACGATGCATTACTCCTTGGCGCCTTCCTGAGTTCTACAAGCGATTTGAGGTATGTCCACGCGTTTTATGCGATGGAAGTCCCAAGCTGAAAGATGATCTCATAGGGTCGAAACGATCTCCTTGACTATGCCACTGGGAAAGGTAATGCTGCAGGACCTCGGCGAGTATCCTCTTCCAAGCTGACAAAACCTCAGGAATCCCACCATGAACAAGTATAGCTGACAAGAGTAGGCGGGCGTCCTCGAAAACCTAGACGTGACCCCTCCAGAGGACATGTGGACTAAGACAGTTTCCCCCCTGAAAGCTCCCGATACGCCCCTTGATATCGCGATCAACTTTGAGAAAGGAACACCGGTGAAAGTGGTCACGCCGCAGCGGACCGCTACCGATTCTGTTGAGCTCTTTGGGCTGTTGAATCGGATCGGCGGGGAACATGGAGTTGACCGTATTGTAGGTTTATGATTAACTTCAAGGGCTTTCCAGTTTTGAGCTGACAAGCGCGGCAGGACATCGTTGAGAACCGATTTATCGGACTCAAGTCCCGTGGATGCTATGGTATGACGACAGTAGCCATGTCTACATGCAACTCATGCTCTGACACAAATTAGACTCCCCAGCCATGACCATCCTCCGCCTCGCCGACATCTCCATCGAGGGACTGTAAGAAGACATCACCACCGACACCAGCGTGCATATGCTCAGAATTCCTAGTGTCCTTGACGGTCGAGTCATCTCTTTGCGAAACACGATGAGCCAGCAGTGGTCTGAGCTCATTTACCAGGGTGCTTACTTTAGCCCTGAGAGGGCGTTTCTGCAGCGTGAGCTGTTATACACTGAAGATTCCGAAAAGCAGGTGATCGTGAGCTCACAAGCATGGCAGCAAGCCTCGACTACTCTCAGCAGAGGGTCAACGGCCAAGTCCGACTTCGCCTGTACAAAGGCAGCGTCTATGTACCCGGACGCTCATCGGATGAGAAGCTGTACTCCGAGGAGGATGCTTCGATGGATTCTCTGATTACGTTTGATCCTCTGGATACGACTGTGTTCATTACTATCCAGGCTATTCGCGTGAAGAAGGTGTGTGTCATTTCATAGAATGGCGAGGTCCGACAAGCTGACTTAATATGTAGTGCGGTATGCAAATGGCGGATGCCGGTGTCAAGTTCTAATTTTGGTTCGTCTTATGAAATGGTGAGGAGGTTGGCGGTTTTTTTATTGGACTGTGAAACTCTGGGCCAGAAAAGTCTATTGCGAGTGCGCAGTCTAGTAGTCTATGAAATAACGGAAATTCCAAAGAGATTGACAAGGTCTAAAGGCATCATGTACACCCACCCGCTCAGTGTTATCGCTACTTGCGGGACGTGGCATATGTCGCAGCCGCACCCGATCCCTGGTGTCCACCTGCATAAGCCGAGGCCGATCCCGCTGCGGGTACTTCCGCAATGTTGTTGAACGGCTCTTGCCAAGACGGCTCGGTAAGCCAGCGCCCGACGGGATAGCTGGCGCTTGAGCTTTGAGCCGAGCGCTGACCACGGTCCAGCGAGGGGTCTTGCCATGAGCGGTTAACCGGGACGGTGCTGAAGCTTTTGGAGCTCTTGCTGCTGGAGCCTGTTTTGACATGAGTATGGATATCACTGAGACATACTGAGTTGGGATGCTTACTCTTTGACTTGGATGAAGAAGATTGCTTGGCCGAAGACTTCGCCATTGTGATGATTGAGTAGAGTATGTTGAGGTTGGAAACCTAAGTCTTGCTGGTGACCAACAGGGCAAGTCCAGAATTCTAATGTGGCTAGGCTGCTTCTTGTTGTGATGCTGATGGCAGTGGCAAGGTCGTCTGGTAGTTTGCGGTGATATAGCTCAGTGTGTAGTAACTAAGGTGGTTGTGAGACTGCATGTGCTGATGATGAAAGTTCTTCCATGTAAACTAAATCGAGAATCAGGCTGATCTTTATACGTATTTGCTCACCTCTTTTTCACGGAGATTTGGGAGAGCTTGAGAAATCTCGTCCAACTGTGTGACACTTTTACTGAGACGGTGGTCTCCTCTTCTTCCCAAGTTCTAGGGCTGTTCTCTCAAGCGCCAACAGTTCCACATGTGCCTTCGAGTTACAATGATCCAGGGACCACACGTGTTGCGAGTTTCGCATGGCGCTTGTGCCTCCGACCAAAATGCATCAGCATTGCCGACAGTCCCAAGGACGGCTTCTGTCGTACTGCGCTAGTAGTTTCTAGCGGCCGAGGGATCAGATCATTGCCCAAATATCAACAAGCTGAAGCTGTTGTTGGCGGAGATACAGACTGAAGATGCAAACGCCAACATGCGTCCAGCTCAGCTAGGAAGTTGCAAGAGACGAACCCGACATCGGCAAGCTGACATCTTCCATGACATCTTCCTTCCCGAGAGTGGCTTTTTGTTCCACTCCCTTTACATCAAAATCATAAGACTTTACCTGCAGAACAACCTTCTTCCTATGACGGGACAATGCAGAACCCGTATTTCTGCTGTTCAACAAACTTGCCGAAGCCGCCCCCGCCCGCCCGAGACACGCCCTCTGCACGTTCCGGTGCCGATAGAATTGTGCACTCTGGCCTTTGGGCAGACTTGCATTTCCAAACTTCCCACGAGGAAAGACATGTGACACGGGCACCACCAAAACGTCGCTAGACTCGCATCCACGCATCCGCGGAAGATTTAGGCTTTAAACTATCTATAGATACCTATATAGGTATATACCTATATAGTCTATAGGTTATAGAGGGGTACTTAAGTAAATACTAAGTAGGTATAAGTATTAGGTAAGATTTTAATATTTAAGTACTAAGTATATAAATATAATAAGGACTATAATTTAAGTTCTAAATAAAAGTCTATTTAATAAATATAATATATTAAGATAAGTTTAGAGAGAAATTAAAGTTTAAATTAAAATATCTAAACTATATAAGAGATAAATTAAATTATTCTACTATATTACTAA